GGGCGGGGTCAGAGCACAGGGCTTGGAGAAGCTGAACACGTAGGCCTCTAGCTCCTGCGTTGTGAGGCGCTGCTCCGGGTTCAGGATTCCTGCCTTCCTGCCCAAAGTCTCCTTCAACAGCTGCCTCAGGACAGACACAGCTGGGCTCAGAACTGGGGCCTGCTGAGCCAGGGACATGGCCCCCGGCAGACAAATCGTCACTCCGGGGTCAGAGCACAGGGCTTGGAGAAGCTGAACACGTAGGCCTCTAGCTCCTGCGTTGTGAGGCGCTGCTCCGGGTTCAGGATTCCTGCCTTCCTGCCCAAAGTCTCCTTCAACAGCTGCCTCAGGACAGACACAGCTGGGCTCAGAACTGGGGCCTGCTGAGCCAGGGACATGGCCCCCGGCAGACAAATCGTCACTCCGCCCCCCATGCCAAGCAGCCTAGGCCCCCGCAGACATGGCTCAGATCCGAAGACTGGTCAGCCAAAGGGACGGGGGCCTAGCTCCTCTCATGCCTCAAATCTCAGCCCCGCCCAGAGCCGGCGAGCCGGCAAACGCACAAGCAGAGCTCCACTTAGCGTCAAGGGCCTGGCAATGGGGCTCCCCCAGGACACGGGGTGCTCACCAGTCTGCCTCCCATGCTTCCTAGCCTGGAGCCTTGGCATGGACTGAGCCACGTCCCCTCTACCCTACAGTGGGCCCCGGCCTGCTCCAGCAGTTCCAGGAGTAACTGTCCCAAAGACTGATGGTAGCTTTATTCCAGTCCCCCAACTCGGGCCCTGTCCTAGCAGGGTCCTGCCCATTGCTGCCCCTTCACCTCTAGGCTGTCAGGATCTTACCAGCCAACTGTATCCCGGGCTCCCCGCCTCATGCTCTCTAGGAACATTATCAGTCCCTAGCTTTGCCCCTTTCTAGCGTGGGGCCGGCGAGTTCCCCGTCCCCAGCCCTGCTACAGGGGCCACCTGCATCCACCATGAATTCCCTCCTGTATCTCCCACCCCGCCTCCTAGCTACTCCCAGTCCCGGCATCTCTGTCCTCCACACCTCGGAATGCTGCTGCCATTCGGAATGGGATGATCCCTACTTGGCATGGATGCTTCCTGTTTGCACAGCTGCCCCTGCCCCTCTGACTCAGGGGGCCACGGCCCTACACATGCAAGAGGAGACTCGATTTCCACCCACCACCGAGGTGCGCTCGCAGCTGCTGGGACAGGAGGCGATTCCCTGGGTGGTATGATCCCAGGATTCAGCCAGGCCCGCACCCTTTCACAGCGCCCCGGGACCAAGGGGGAGTGGCAGGGCCCCCAGGTGAAAGGTGCCTGTCAGGCAGCTCTCAGGAGACAGGTTCTCCCCCAGCACTGTGCTGGGGGCCCCATCTCAGGAGTCAGTGCTGATCCCACTGCAGGCCTGTAGAGGGCGCTGAAGAAGCTGTAACGATCCCTGGTCCTTAACCATCCCACTGGGGCCATTCCATCCTGCCTCCCTGACCATGCTGCATAGTGGGTGGTTACCAGGTGCCACACCCCACCCCAGAGGTGGCTGCAGCAGGGCTCTGGGGGAGGGTGAAGGGGCAGTTCTATAAACGGGCACATTTGGAATTCTAGCCAAGCTAAGCCATGGCTGCCAGGTCCCTGCTCCCACCTCACCCCCATCTCACCTGGAAGTCACCCAAAGCCAGGAGCAGCTCAGGCAGTCTCTGCAGCTGGAAGGTGAACAGGTAGCTGAAGCGCAGCAGCTGGCAGGGGTGGCAGGCCACGTACTCTGCAGCGTGAGCAGAAAAGTGGACACACGCGCGGAGGCTGGAGGCCTCCCTCCCAAGTCCCCTGGGGACACCCAGAGGCCCCAACAGAGGCAGGAGCCAAAGCCTCCCCCCCCTGCCCCAAGATCTCCCTGGCTCAAAGCACCGGCCAGAGACGTCATTTCAGGGCTTGCTCGGGCTGGCCTGGTGCTTGGGGGCCTGCAGCCCCTGCCGGGCAGTGGGAACCCCAACCAGTGCGAAGACCCCACAGCCCTGCCCCCACCACTCTCACCCCGCCAATGGTGCTGCAAGAACCCGCCTCCTCCACCTGCCGCAGATGCTCACAGCGGGAGCCCGGCAGGTCAGAGCCCCACCTTGGAAAAGGGACGAGTGGACGGCGTTCATGATAATGAGCTTCCCCACCATCTCGGGGTGACGAATGGCGAATTCCCACGCAATGGAGCCTCCCCAGTCGTGTCCCACCAGGATGCACTTCCTAAAGCCTGGAAGCAGACAGACTGACCATCAGGGCAGAGCTAGACTCCCACTGTCAGGGTGCTCCCTGCTCCACCCAGGGCCCCCCTCGCCCCCACAACGGCGTTCATGATAATGAGCTTCCCCACCATCTCGGGGTGACGAATGGCGAATTCCCACGCAATGGAGCCTCCCCAGTCGTGTCCCACCAGGATGCACTTCCTAAAGCCTGGAAGCAGACAGACTGACCATCAGGGCAGAGCTAGACTCCCACTGTCAGGGTGCTCCCTGCTCCACCCAGGGCCCCCCTCGCCCCCACAGCCT